TTCTACACGTTTTTTACACACAATGACAAGGATTGTCAAGAAAGCGTGTTCGTCATGTTCATGTCAAATTAAACTGATCACAAAACACAGATTTGCTTTCTTTATTTTGTTTTCCTCATCCAACCCCCATAAATCCCTATGTGTCCTCCTGCAGCACTCCTGAAGGACAACAGGCAAAACAACACAAAAAAAGTCTGATGTGTTGTGTAAAAACTGCTATTTTTAGCATGTTTTTAGATCCGACGTGATGCTACCAGACGTATAAAGTGAGCAATCAGGTCGCAGAGAACTGGGTCGTACAGTGTAAGCACATTACTCGTGAGATCTGCTCTGCAAGAAAGTCATACAGTTTGAGCTGAAGCAGAGTGCTACGAGTGAAAAAGTCGCACAGTGTCCGCCCAGCTTTATCACAATCACCACACCCGCCCCCTCATCCCCACCACTAGCTGACAAAGGCGTATGACAAGGCCCGGACGCACCACGATTCCGCACCCCATACGACGCACCGCCTCAGCATACGACACTCAGCCTGTACCTTCCCCAACTCCACCACCACCCTATACACCATAAAACCCCTATAAGCCGCTTGATGGTTTCTATCACAGTTAACATCGAAGCGGTAGATCACAATTCCTGCCCTCATGGTCACCCCCACACCTCCGACAATGCACCCCCACCACACAGGCACCGGCCATATGACCATAGCTCTGACACCTAAAAAAAAACCCAGAGGAGGTTCCTCGTACGCTCTCACCGTGAAACTAAGGAAGCCCAACTGGACACGAGCAGGGAGCTCCACTGCGTCGAAAGTAATCAGCAGCGGAGTGGACCCACATGCGTTAAACCCCAGACGCCGAACAGCCACCACCGCCGCCCCACCCAGGGAACCAAACTCCTCCGACTCAGAGACCTTTGAAATGCCGTACACCACACCCTCAACCATACAACCAGACCTCGACTCAGAAACCACCACGTCCACCCCCAGCGCTTTGTGACACTGGGACTTAGTCTGGCACACCACCACCAACAGCCCACTGAACACCACGGTGGCATCTAACACATCCCCTAACACGGCACTCAGGTCTCGGGATACCACCAACGGGTTAGAGGTGGCAAAATGCACACCTCCTACCGCCCTGATATGCATCACAAAGCCACCCTCCTCCAGTCTCTGTTGCTTTAGCTGGGCATCCCAGTCACAATCTGATGCATCACTGCCGCTCCTACGGTCTCTCCTTGCTGTCCCCACCGACTGAACCGCCGCTCCAAACCTACTCGCCCCCTTCCTCCCCATTTTCTGCAACAAGCAAGGCTGCACCAAAGCGAAGCCGGGCCGCTGTCTTACCGGGCCTGTACAGGCCGTCAGCCAACCACCCGAACAACCCTCGAAGTCAGCCCAAACCGTTCCCCCTGCTCCTGACCCAGTCCACCACCGAACTCTGTCCACTATGGTCCGCGTCCAACTCCAAATCACCTCTTTATATACTCATTCCACAATGAGCATCCAATCATCAGTAACGAGTAGGCAGAATTGGATAGCTAATTACAAATGAATTTATTGTTTGATTGCTTGTCTTTATTCATACAGCACTGAGAGTATTGCAACAGTTACTTATCATTTTGAGTAGTTGTATCGATTGATAGTTAGATCATTGAAAGGAAATGAACAGACTCATTTGAAATGTAATGAGTGAATTGCTTTTTGAAATAGTAGTACTTTGATGTTAAGTAGTGTCAAATTGAACAGGTAATATTTGTTCAATCAACCAATAATCTAAGTTTTGTGTGTGTTGTATCCAAGCAATTGAGAAATGGGTTAGAGTTTTGAAAAAAGGTGCTTTTTGATGATTCGTTTTGCGTTTTGTGTCTAGAGTTGTGAAAAATGACATCAGGGTTGTGAAAATTGCAGCAAAGCGATTGAAAAAAATATGACAATACAACAGTAGCAGACTGGCCATCTGTGAATTCTGGAGAATCCCAGAATGGCCAGGGTCAGTGTTGCCCCCCCAACGCAAGCTTGGTAGGCGGATTGGTGCTGCGTCTGCAGTGATGTGGGCGTTGTACCGATCTGTCGTGGTGAAGAGAGAGCTGAGCCAGAAGGCAAAGCTCTCGATTTACAGATCGATCTATGTTCCAACTAGGGTTGGGCATCGTTTGATTTTGAACGATTCCGATTCCTCGTTTTGATTCCGGTTCCTATTGATTCCCGATTTTTATTCTTTCAAGACATGACATGTTTTACATGAGCTAGCTAACCACAGGTCCTGCTTGATGAAATAATCTTAACTTCAACATGAATTTTAATTCTGTGAATAATAACATCACCTTCATTTAGACAAAAACACGTTTTGGAGAAAAAAGAAAAAGACTTGCAGCACAACCAGTGCGTTTGTTTCTGACCACAACCAAAGTCTGGAACATATCCAAAAACATCCTGCTGTTTTCAGCTAAAACTCTCAGGGTGATCATGTGCTGCACACAGACAGCTTGTGTGATCAGCTCTGAAAAGCGTTGATCACAATTTGCAGATCACGTTAATTTTTCATGGAGATCGGCCGCGGATTCCTCTTCCGGTAGGCATACTAGGAATCAAAATAAAAAACTTTGAACAATTCCGGGAAAAACTAACAGTTGGTCCCGGTTCCAATCAATGCTTGATGCCCAACCATAGTTCCAACCCCTTTTCCACAGAGTGGCTGGGCTCTCTTTTAGAGATAGGGTGTGAAGCTTGGTTATCTGGGAAGGGCTCGGCGTATACCCGCTGCTCCTCCACATCAAGAGGAGCCAGCTGAGGTGGCTCAGGCATCTAGTTAGAATGCCTCCTGGATGCCTCCCTGGTGAGGTTTTCAGGGCACGTCCGACCACGAGAAGACATAAGGGAAGACCATCGACATATAAATATTGGACAATGGGTTTCCATAGACTCCAATGACAAGTTTTTGAAGAAAAATGGGAGATGGCCACCACCGCCATTTTGACCGTGTCACAGGTTCCGTCAAGCCCAGACAATTGCACAAAAGGGAGGAGAGGTGGAGCTGAGGGTGGGGCTGTAAGGCTGGGATCAACTGACGACACCCGGTCGAACTAGCTACAAGCTAACCTGAAGCTAACCCAAAGCTAACGTGGAGGTGGGAGCTAAGCTAACGGAGGTAGCAACCTAGCTACAACCAGAGTTAACTGTGCACAACACCAGAGCTTCTGAGTCAGAGATACGCCGGGCTGACCGCTGGGTAAAACCGGGTGGAACACAGAGGTCTCCCGAGAGCTCCACAAGCCGGCAGCCGCACAGCAGACAAGCGCCGCTGAGATGCGCAGAGCTGCCGCTGGGGAGAACCGGGTGGAAAACATCGGTTTCCATCCCAGAGCTCCAAAAGCCGGCAGCCCGCGCAGCAGACAGGAGCTGCGAACAGAGAGAGATGCGCCGAGCTGCGGAGAGGGGAGAACGGGTGGAAAACGTCGGTCTCCCGAGAGCTCCACAAGCCGATAGTCCGAACCCAGCTCCACCAACATGTTATATTTCAACCCATTTTCTAAAGTGCAGCATTATGTTAAATGCACTGGGTTTTACCCTATGACATTTAAATGTCATGGTTAAACAGTACATGTTAAAATCTAAGCTCAGCTCGGCAGTGACCTAAAATACATAAATATAATTTTACTTACCGAAAAAAAGGAAGTGGAGACTCCTTGGACGCTCTATTGGTGCAATTAATGCCACAGCAAGTCATTTTGTCCAACAATTGCACTAAAACTATCCCAAAAAGAATGCACAAACACAGAGACTCAAAATCCCGGAACAGTTTCCAGGCCAGACCGAGGCTTTACTGAGGCCTTTCCACGGAGCTAGCTCTGTGGTCACGTGGGTCTGATGCTCATTAATTATACAGAATTTTAGGCTTTTAATACACATAGAAGAGTGAGAAAAAATTCACCCCCCTCAGAGTAGTCATGAGTGTAAACTAGATCATTTAAACAAAAAACATGTTTTGGTACCAGGCTGTAAACATGTTTATTTCTGCTGTGAAATTGGTATTTTTAACATGGGAGTCAATGAGGATTTGCTCGCTTCTGACACCAGCCCCCAGCGGATGAGGGTGGAACTGCAATTTTTGTCACTTCCGCGTTTGCTTCAATTTTTCACCCGCATTGTGGGGGCTTGGCGAAGACCCAGGACATGCTGGATAGACAATGTCTCACTGCTATCCAGGGAATGACTTAGGATTCCCCCAGAAGAGCTGGCCACAATAGCTGGGGAGAGGAAAGTCTGGGTCTTAGACTACTGTCCCTGCGACCCGACCCTGGATAAGCGGCCGAAAATGGATGGATGGATGGAAAAATACATATATTTTAGTCAACTAAATTAAGACTAGTATTTAAACAAATTGGATGATTAAATCATGGCTAAAATTAAATTGAATTTTAGTCCAAAGACTGAAACTAAATTAAATTAAATTTCTAGTCAAAATTATCACTGGTGTGGATTGGGGGTGAACCAATGCCATATTTGCAGTTTTCTTCTTTGATTCCATGCCCACCCAACAAACATAGCGCTGTGATTGGCAAGACACAAAACTGATAGAGCCCAAGGCTCCAGACCTGCTGAAGCTACGATGCAGCATGGGTAGACTGACCTGCAGAGCTAAATATTTTTGATAATGCTTTGGTCTTTATTTCAAGTCTATGCTTTCTCCACTTTTTTGCTTCATTCCAGAACCTTTGATGTGTTTAAGAAATCAGCCAATCCACGATGATTTAGCAAACACTCCAGCAGACTACAAGACAATCTAGTAAGTTTTCAAATTCGTGTGAAGCTGAGAAGAAAAATGAAAATAGCTGAAGCTAAACATCAAGAATGGATCAACCTGCATAGAGGCTGATACAGACTTAGTAAATAATTATTTGCTTTTTGTTCAAGTGATCCACTAACAACAAGTTTAAATGTTCAAACTGTGGCATATTAATGAATATTACTAAAATAAACGGCAGTAGAATATAATCACCCATGTCTGCCAGGTTACAGAGGGCCAGCAGGCACACGTTGACCAGTGGGTCATTGTTGGGGTATTCCTTCATTATGGATACCAGTCTGGGGATGACACCACTCTGTACTAACTGGTCCTGCTGGTATGCTGGAATGAAAAGAGAAAAGATGGAGTTTGTGAGTAAAACTGTGGATTAAAACATGCTTTAGAATTGTTTTTATACCAAAACTGAAATCTGCATTATAAACATTTTCAAGTTTTGTAGTGAGTGATCAAAATATAACCATTCACTGACCTATGTATACTCACTGTTATCAAAGCAGATGCGTCCAATTGCCCGGCCAGTGTTCAGCAACATTTCCTGGTTGTTGCTGTTCAGATGTGGAACCAGAACCTTCACCAGGCCTGCTTCAATGCACTGCTCTCTTACTGCCCCTACAGCACAAGACAGGAAGAAACATGGAAACAATCTGTAAATGATGCTCTGTGAATGTCATGGATTTTATCAACATGTTTATCAATAACCCATTTCCTATAGCGAAGAGAGAAGGAGACAATGAAAAACAAGTCAACAGAACTGTGGCATGATGCACGAGGCAAAATGCCCCGAACATCTGTTCACAGTTTATTGAGAGAGAGAGAGAGAGAGAGAGAGAGAGAAGTCAAGAATGTGTGTGTGTGTGTGTGTGTGTGTGTGTGTGTGTGTGTGTGTGTGTGTGTGTGTGTGTGTGTGTGTGTGTGTGTGTGTGTGTGTGTGTGTGTGTGTGTGTGTGTGAGTGTGTGTGTGTGAGTGTGTGTGTGTGTGTGTGTGTGTGTGTGTGTGTGGCTTCTGTGGGTGTGTCTGAATAAGAGGCATAGAGCAATACATTTACATTAAGTTGGTTGAGTCAATGATCAAGAATTAATAAACAATTTTTTCCATAACAATGAAGAACCACCTTCCTTTTAGTTTTCTAAACTATTGTCTTTTTAACTAAAAGAGTCAAGTAAACTGACCTTTTAATTTTGTCATCATTAAATAAACTGCATCAAAGTCCTCACCCACAGCCACTCATCATAAAAATTCACAGTTAAGGGACCTGCCACATGTAGTTAGGATCTGTCTCTTTACAATTTATTCTTCCATAAATGTTATTGCAGCACAAACAGAAGCATTCACCCACATGTCTTACATCAAAATGACCAACGTGATCAGGGAGGCAGGCTATTACTGTTCTTAACAATCAATTTCTAGGTGCCATTATTGCAAATTTAAATGTGTTTTGGCTACTAACTCTTAAACCACAAGTCACCCACTCATAAATGATATATTTTATTGTTCCTTGGATGATTTAGCATCACTTTTTTTTACTGGCCACGCCCAATTTGATCTAACTAGATTTTTTTTTTTGCCATGATGTGAAAATGGCAAAACATACTTTTTAAAATCTCGTCTACATTATACACTGTAGCGTCCAGAAATGGCCAGTTTTTCATCTACAGTTTGACCTCTTCAGTATCCAGTCATATGGAGACATAAGTCTTAACTGGAACCTTTAATCTGCAAGAAAGATACTGTTGCTTTACCAAGGTCCTTCTCAAGTTTCCTCTTATCTTTATCTGCTTTGCTTCATAGAACAAGAAGAATGAACTTTTATAATAATGAATGGTTATAATAACGAATACTGGATGATGCAATGAAATTCGTAAATAATCATATGGTTGAATGAACAATAATGGCTGGAGAATAATAATGTTTTGATTAATCTGTGCTTAAATTACTGAAATTGAAATGCACAGTATTATGTTATGATCAGTAAAGTTTGATTTAACAATTGAATCTCTATCTACTGACAGCTCACACACACACTCACACACATGAAGATGACAAGGTTAAAGTAATCTCATGACACATTGCTTTCTGATCCACAAATCAGAGCTCCTGTATCTGGACAAGCTGTGGTTCCTGAGGTTGTTGGCAAAACCCCCTTTACGTGTCAAATTCTGATTTGTCATTAAGTCAAAATATGGCAATTATTAAAACAGAACTCACTTCCTCGTGAGTCAGCTGAGCCGAACTCTGGACTGGCCACCGGAGGAAAACTCTTCTCCCATCGCATCTTTGACAAGCTGTCAAAACCTGTTGCCCACTACAGCTGATAACGCAAACGGTTCCTTCAGAACAAAGCGGACACAGCTCTGACTCCTTAAGAATCCTTCCATAGACGCAAACATTACCTGTTGCAACCTGGAGACAACTCGAAGACCGGTCTAGTGGTGCCGCAGTTTCTCCTACGGACCTCGGTGCCTTGGAGTCCACGGACTTCGACACATTTTGGATCTACCTCGGGGTCTCAGAAAAAAAGGGTACGTAGGCACGACAGATTGCGTCTGATGCTGTTTTATTAGAAATCAACTTTCTAGTTTAATGCAGACCAAATTCAATCCCACTCAGAACTCAGTTTCTTCAGATACGAGGGTTCTGATAACATCACATTCACACATCATCACTTCTGGTCAAACATTCAAAGATCAATTAGGTTGATACTCTATATGGAATCGTGACATATTTTTGATCATAATTAAAACCCAAAATACATCTGTAGTCTAATTCTACAACAGCAAATCTGTGTGAACCTTGGTAGATATGATCTATACAGCAAACCAGCAAAATCTGATTTTTAAAAAATCCTAAAAAAGTTCGAAAAATTGTGCGAATAATTAAGAATATGTTTAAAAGGAGAAAAAAAAATAAAATGTAAGGAAAGGGAGAGAAAATGAATAGGAAAGAGGGAAATCAATGATCCCGGGCAAACGGAATAAGAACAGAATAAGGAGATGGTGGTGATGAAGGTCACAGAGGATAAGGGTCGGCCGCCCGAAGCCTCCACCTAAGCTTTTCTGTCACGCCGATAGAATCACTCCGAATAAACGCCACCTGCACCAGCTGACGCAAAACTCCTTCAGAGTTAAGTTAAGACACAAGCTCAACACCTGTGTACCAGCGGCAACTCTTGGACCAAAGAGTCGGTGCCACTCGGGTCTTCCCTACCGGACCGAGTACCCAGAGGCTCCGCCACTATGAAAACTTGAAGATGGACACACAACACAGTTTAACCTTTAATGGTTAAATAAGATTTTTGTTTTAGTTACTCTTTGACGTTTATTTATTAGTTGTGTTATTGTTAATTCTTATTTCTTGTTATTCCTTACTTAATAACAAAATTGCAAATGCTAATATTACTATAAAGCAAGTGGAAATGAGCAGTTTTATGGAAAATGTCAAATTTTTAAAAGTTATTGTGTTCGACTACTGTTAATGAAATATCGTTATTCTATTCTTATTACTTGAGTCCACAAAACAACATATCTTCTTACATTCGTAATCCTGTTTGTCTCATGCTTCAGCAGTTCGTTGCAGTCAGTGTTATTAACTGAAAAATATGAAATAATTGTCTTCACGATCACATTTTCTTTAATATCATTGGTCTCTCCATTTTTGCTTCCATTTCTGATGCATGTTCGTGTTGATACAGCAGCGTATTGTACAAATGAATCCCAAATAAAACTAATAATGTAAAAAGCATATAATCTATTTCAAACTGTGGGGAATATTTTTTAGAACATAGAATCAAACAAACTGAAATAAACCCGTCTACAGCTCATCAAGCTTGTCTAAACCCTCCTGCTCACAATCAACAAGCTGCACACAATTAGATCATTAAAGGTTATCTAGCTTAAACTGGCAACTTAAAAAAAACATTATGTTGCTCATATCGGTACGAAGCGGTTAGCTAACGCTTCACAATGCAAAACAATGACGACAATTCATCAACTTACTGGAGAAAATCCTTCCGAAACACCGAAAATGAACTACGGTCAATGCAGCAGTGGGGGCTGTTTGGAACTATTCGAAGCTACGTGAACCATGTGACTTCCGCATTCCATTCTTTCCATAGAAATCTATTGGAGTGTCGCAACTCTCTCTTTCTACAGCTCTGATTCAAACTAAATAAGAGGAGATGTTCAGGAAGTTTGGAAGCCGGTGCTCATCATGTGTTAAACAACCCGCATCCCATCTCATCTCATCTACATTAACGTGCTTTTTCACAGATAGTTGCCCAGATTATTTAACTGAGGATGTTTTTCTACTCAACATCAGCCTCCTTAAACTCAAACCAGGTGTGATTAACCAATGTTACCCTGTCTTCTTTACGAGCAGGTCTCCATCCACCTGCTGCAGAAACAGCTGCTGCGTTCACAGAAACAGGGATCTGTGCAGCAAAACCGAAATTAATCTGCGTGTTTCCAGTACAGACTGGATTATGTTTGTCAAATGACTTGTGCAATAATCAGATTTTTATTTTACTTCCACAAAATGCAAGTTCTGGTTTAGAAATTACTGAAACGGGGACGGCTTGCGATCAAATTTAAAAGCCGGCGCTTGTTAATTAGGCCGTCATTTTTTAACTCAGGTACTCTAAATGATGACGGGGAGGCTTGCTAGCTGTTGCACACATGAACAGTGGGGATTATTTTATTCCAACAATCTGAACGGCTGTGTACATGCACATCAATCGGAATGAGGATCGGACAAAACCACCTCTCTCAATCGGAATATTCCAATTGACATGTTTACATGCAGAATTTTTTATCTGATTGGGCCTTCAATCTGATTAAATGTGTGAATGTAAACGTGGCTACTGTGACTCTGGCCGGTGATGGGCTAGGGGGCGGAGTCACTGGTTGCTCCGGAGTTTTTTGCTTTCTGTTTCAGTGCCTGCAGCCATTTCCTGGTTCAGAGTCTGACAAAAGCTGAGCAAAATGTCCACCACCACAACCTGTTTCCAGCTGTGTTTATGTGGAGCATACAAGTTACCTTGCACTGTTTACTGATCCCCCCTTTTTACTGCTAGGTGTGAAAGAAACCTTTGTGGAAAATGTTATTGTTCTTCTCCGTGTAAATCCAAACAAAGTTAACCTGAGGATATAAAATGTGGATTTCCGCTACACTATTCTATTCTACACATAGCTCATCGCCATTAGTGTGTGAATGTGTGTGTGAATGATATGCTGTTGTGTAAAGCACATTGGAGTCATCTCACTCTGAAAGTTGTTATACAAGTGCAGGTCATTTATCATTATCTTTTATTTTGAAAATCATTGAAGGTGGATGTGGCATATAGGAAGCATGTGTGTTTCAAACATTTGTCCAAGAATGTCTCCAAGACTGCAACCTTCTAATGTAAACCTATGCAGCAGCTGTCAGGCCCCTTTTAACATTTCTTCAGTAATAATTATAATTATTATATGGAAACTATGACATAAATTCTCAAGATTAAATTTAGAACAGTGTAACTGTCATTGTCAGTAAACTTCATCTGAGGCTGGACTGTACAGTATGACAGAGTTTTGGATCCTGCAGGCACCATAAAGAGGCTCTACAGGTTTATTTTCATAAGTAAAGAAAATAAATTCAGTTAAACTAATGAACCACAGCATTTGTTTCAATCTAAAGGCACTTGCACACCAGCGTCGGCTCCACTTCCCCTGGACCGGGTTGGGAGTTTTCTCATTTCTCGTTCTTTTCAGCCCTCTTCCCGAGGCAGTCTGCCTGGAGCTGAACCGTTCCAACATACTCACTGCTGACTGATTGGCCGGCTACCATTAGGGGGAGGCTCCGATTGGCGGATAGAATAAGCCCACGTGTGCATTCATGCATGTACGACTCATTATCATTCTAGATGCTGAGGAGTTAACAAGCCTCTGACTGTAATTGTTTTACTGTCTGTCACTGCTGTGAGGAGGCGCGCGCGCACACACACACACACACACACACACACACACACACACACACACACACACACACACACACGCATGCACACACGCCGCACGCAGAGACAGAAAGTCTCCAAAAGGCTTTTGTTTAATAATGGAGACACCACTGACTTCTCCGCGCTCTTTTGCAACACCCACGTGCTCAGAGATGCGCTCATGACATCACTGATATCTATTTTTGTGCTCAATCACATCCGCATTACTAAGGCAGTGTTGAACAAATGTGGCCAGCATGGGGTGAGTGGAGTGGAGTGGATCCGATGCTAGTGAGCAAGTGGCATAACTTGTACAATCTGTCACAGTCAGAGTTTACCTTCCCGTGCCATCTCTGCCACCACCAGAGCCACCTGGCAGCTCAAACTGCTTTTGTTCTGTAGGGACTGGACCAGAATGGGCAGAATCCCACTCCTGGCTATCTCCATAGCTGCATCTTTCCCTGGGAACACACAAATCCATAAGGTGCAGAACACAGGTTAGGCTGAACTCCCTGGTGTTAGTTTAAAAGTATGTTTACTGCCAGCAGCATAATAATAAAATAATAATAAATAAATAACAAAAATAACCAAAGTGGATGAAAGCAGGCTGGCCCAAGGGTGTATCAAGCTTATCAAAAGTGTTGAGTTGTTGAGACATGTGTGTGTGTGTGTGTGTGTGTGTGTGTGTGTGTGTGTGTGTGTGTGTGTGTGTGTGTGTGTGTGTGTGTGTGTGTGTGTGTGTGTGTGTGTGTGTGTGTGTGTGTGTGTGTGTGTGTGTGTGTGTGGGAGGGGGGGGGGATCTAGATGGAGGAGATGTGGAATGGAGGTAATTTAGTACACACAGTAAATATTAGTTAACTTGTCATGTTTTAATTGTTTGGAAAATAAATTCACTCCTCCTTGAACCGTCACCTTATCGTGGTGGAGGAGTTTGAGTGCCCTAATGATCCTAGGAGCTATGTTGTCTGGGGCACTTAGTGCCCCTGGTAGGGTCTCCCATGACAAATTGGTCTTAGGTGAAGGGTGAGACAAAGAACGGTTCGAAGGATCTTTCATGGCGGTTAAAACGAAGAGTCGGAGTACCCGGCCCGGAGGGTTACCGGGGTCCCACCCTGGAGCCAGGCCTGGGGTTGGGGCCCGTGAGCGAGCGCCTGGTGGCCGGGCTTTCGCCCATGGGGCCCGGCTGGGCCCAGCCCGAACCGGATACATGGGCTCGTCCAACTGTGGACCCACCACCCGCAGGAGGAACATGAAGGGTCCGGTGCAATGCGAATCGGGTGGCAGACCAAGGCGGGAGCCTTGGCGGTCCAATCCCCGGACAAGAAAACTAGTTTTTGGAACATGGAACGTCACCTCGCTGGCGGGGAAGGAGCCGGAGCTTGTGGCAGAGGTTGAGCGGTACCGGCTAGATATAGTCGGACTCACCTCGACACATTGCATTGGCTCTGGAACCCGAGACCTGGAGAGGGGTTGGACACTCTACTTTGCTGGAGTTGCTCCGGGTGAGAGGCGGAGGGCTGGGGTTGGCTTTTTGTTAGCCCCGAGACTCTCTGCCTGTGTGTTGGGGTTTACCCCGGGGGACAAGAGGGTAGCTTCCTTGCGCCTTCGGGTCGGGGAACGGGTCCTGACTGTTGTTTGTGCTTATGGGCCAAATATCAGTTCAGAGTACCCACCCTTTTTGGAGTCCCTGGGACGAGTGCTAGATAGTGCTCCATCAGGGGACTCCATTGTCCTGCTGGAGGACTTCAGTGCTCACGTGGGCAATGACAGCTTGACCTGGAGGGGTGTGATTGGGAGGAACGGCCCACCTAATCAGAACTCGAGCGGTGTTTTGTTATTGGACTTCTGTGCAAGCTGCAGTTTGGCCATAACGAACACCATGTTCGAACATAAGGATGCCCACCGGTACACTTGGTACCAGGGCAGCCTAGGTCACAGGTCGATGATAGATTTTGTAGTCGTATCATCTGACCTGCGGCCGTATGTTTTGGACACCCGAGTGAAGAGAGGGGCGGAGCTGTCAACTGATCACCACCTGGTGGTGAGTTGGATCAGATGGCAAGGGAACATGCCGCGTAGACCTGGCAGACCCAAATGCATAGTGAGGGTCTGCTGGGAACGCCTGGCAGAAGAACCTGTCAAGACGGTCTTCAACTCCCACCTCCGGCAGAGCTTTGACCACGTCCCGAGAGCAGTGGGGGACATTGAGTCCGAGTGGGCCTTGTTCCACTCTGCGATTGTCGAGGCGGCTGTTGCTAGCTGTGGTCGTAAGGTGGCCGGTGCCAGTCGTGGTGGCAACCCCCCGTACCCGCTGGTGGACACCAGAGGTTCGGGGAGCCGTCAGGCTGAAGAAGGAGGCCTACAGGGCGTGGCTGGTCTGTGGGTCTCCGGAGGCAGCAGACAGGTACCGGATAGCCAAGCGGGGTGCAGCAGTGGCAGTTGCCGAGGCAAAATCTCGGGCGTGGGAGGAGTTTGGTGAGGCCATGGAGAAAAACTATCGATCGGCTCCAAAGAGGTTCTGGCAAACTGTCCGGCGCCTCAGGAGAGGAAGGCAGCAACTCGCTCACACTGTTTACAGTGGGGATGGGGAGCTGCTGACGTCAACTGAGGCTATAGTCGGACGGTGGAAGGAATACTTTGAGGAGCTCCTCAATCCCACCAATGCGCATTCCGAGGAGGAACCAGAGCTGGGAGGCCTGGGGATGGACTGTCCGATCTCGGGGGCAGAAGTTGCTGAGGTAGTCAAACAACTACACAGCGGCGGAGCCCCGGGGGCGGATGAGGTTCGTCCTGGGTATCTCAAGGCTATGGATGTTGTAGGGCTGTCATGGTTGACACGTCTCTACAACATTGCGTGGTCATCGGGGGCAGTTCCTAGGGAGTGGCAGACCGGGGTGGTGGTCCCCATCTTTAAGAAGGGTGACCTGAGGGTGTGTTCCAACTATAGGGGGATCACACTCCTCAGCCTCCCTGGAAAGGTCTACTCCAAGGTACTGGAGAGGAGGGTCCGATCGATAGTTGAATCTCAGATAGAGGAGGAGCAATGGGGTTTTCGTCCTGGCCGTGGAACTGTGGACCAGCTCTATACCCTTGCAAGGGTGATGGAGGGGGCATGGGAGTTTGCCCAACCAATCCACATGTGCTTTGTGGATTTGGAGAAGGCTTATGACCGTGTCCCCAGGGGCACCCTGTGGGGGACGCTCCAGGAGTATGGGGTGGGTGGCTTTCTGTTAAGGGCCATTCAGTCCCTTTACCAGAGGAGCGTGAGTTTGGTCCGCATAGCCGGTAGTAAGTCGAACCTGTTCCCAGTGAGGGTTGGACTCCGCCAGGGCTGCCCTTTGTCACTGGTTCTGTTCATCACTTTTATGGACAGAATTTCTAGACGCAGCCGTGGTGTGGAGTGTGTCGAGTTTGGTGGCAGGAGAATCTCGTCTCTGCTTTTTGCGGATGATGTGGTCCTCCTAGCTTCATCCAGCTCTGACCTTCAGCTCTTGCTGGGTAGGTTCGCGGCCGAATGTGAAGCGGCTGGGATGAGGATCAGCACCTCCAAATCTGAGACCATGGTTCTCGACCGGAAAAGGGTGGCTTGCCACCTCCGGGTCGGGGGAGAGGTCCTACCTCAAGTGGAGGAGTTTAAGTATCTCAGGGTCTTGTTCACGAGTGAGGGTAGGAGGGATCGGGAGATCGACAGGCGGATTGGTTCGGCGTCTGCAGTGATGCGGACGCTGAGCCGATCTGTCGTGGGGAAGAGGGAGCTGAGCCAGAAAGCCAGGCTCTCGATTTACCGGTTGATCTACGTCCCAATCCTCACCTATGGTCATGAGCTTTGGGTAATGACCGAAAGAACGAGATCGCGGATACAAGCGGCCGAAATGAGTTTCCTCCGTAGGGTGGCCGGGCTCAGCCTTAGAGATAGGGTGAGGAGCTCGGACATTCGGGAGGGACTCGGAGTAGAACCGCTGCTCCTCCGGATCGAAAGGAGCCAGTTGAGGTGGTTTGGGCATCTGGCCAGGATGCCTCCTGGACGCCTCCCCGGGGAGGTGTTTCGGGCATGTCCTGCCGGCAGAAGGCCCCCGGGTCGACCTAGGACACGTTGGAGAGGTTACATCTCCAATCTGGTCCGGGAACGCCTTGGGGTCCTGCCGGAGGAGCTGGTGGACAAGGCCGGGGAGAGGACGGCCTGGAGCTCCCTAGTTGGGATGCTGCCCCCGCGACCCGGACCCGGATAAGCGGAGGAAGACGAAGACGAAGACGAAGGAAAATAAATTCTTACTTTTATAAACCTGGATCTTTCTTGAATCATGACAAAGTGTTTACAATCCCTGAATAAACAAGAATCCGAGAATCCTCAGATTAAACATACAAAGACCAAGCAGGTTGATATTCTATATTTATATAGAGTATTACAGCTTATTGGTCATAAGTAGAGGTAATATATTGAGCTATTAAAGCACTCAATTTACCGAATCCTACATATTGGCATGCCGGCCAGATTTTATTAAAATTGTCCACTTCGTTTTGGTTCTGATTCATTAATTCTTCAAAAAAACTATTATTTTCTGTCTGGGTAGAAAACAAGAGTGATCTCATTATTGGCCACTGGGGACGCTGTCCCTATCTATTTCACAAACGGGAGACTCCCGTCCCCGCCACCCGGGGTGCTGACTCACCCCTTGCCATTTCAGTCTGTGCTCATGGGAAGCTACAGCAAAACTGCAAGAGAGTAACTGGCTGTTGATTTTGAAAGGTAAATGCATTTATGTGTGTTTTTTTGCCACGTCCTTTGAGTGACTCTGTCACGTTTTATGTGTGATTCTGTCACCTTTGTTTATGCTTGTTGTGGACTCGGATCAGAGAAGGTTCGACGTTAGCACCAGAGCTATACAGCTTTAACCGAGGTCTGATCAACCGTGGTTAGTCCGACGCGATACCGGACATTATCCGAAGTCCATACCAGAGAGATATACTGTTTTGGTTGTCGTCCAGACGTTTGTCTGAAGCCTGTGACAAAAAGTCAAGTCGACACGTCACAGGACGTGTCATATATTGAGCTCTTAAAGCACTCAATTAACCAAATCCTACACCAGTGAGGCATGGTGGATGGCTGCTTATACTGAGCCAGGATCCTCTGGAGGTTTCTTCCTGTTAAAAAGGAGTTTTCCTCTCTACTGTCACTAAATGCTTGTTTAGTATGAGGATTGCCAATTTGCTGGGTTCCTTATGTAGGGAAACTATAATTTGATTGGCTTAATGAACTGACCTGTATTGGATTGTTTACTGTGTGAAGTGCCTTGACATGACTTTTGTCGTGATTTGGCGCGATTTAAACAAACTTGAATTGAATGGAATTGAATTGAAGTACTTGATTGAAAAAGAGAACTGAGGAAATATGTTACTATATATGTAGGAGCATTGAACACCCAACCACTGGCAAAGACCAGCAGAAAACTTCTATTTTCTA